GGAACATCACAACTCTAATATGTATACGTCAGCAACCCTAAACTAATAAATACGCAAGAGCAACAACCTAACGAACGCCTGAATCATTCCTTGCTCCCTCCAAATCTTCCCCTTCATTCACCCGCAATGTACAACCTCCCTGTACGCAACAGTTTCGAAACCCTAAGCACCCAAGCACCTACAAATCCGGCCTCCTCAGACACAACAAAAATCAAAATACCCCCATATACATCCACGATGCCCAAGATCATTCCAACCTCACATCCATCAAAACAATCCATCACATACTAAAACATACCCAGTTCTAAACCCACAAATAAGCAAAATACATCGAAACAATTGTTAACAGATTACAAAACCTTAAGAGAGAATCTACAAGAAAACAACCTGAACTATTGTATCTTGCCTACCAAGATGTAGGCAAACAATGTCCGTAGTCTTACGAAATGAACCAGTAGATTACAGTGAGAAAGAAATTGAAGAGGAACTCATCAAAAGAAACCTACCGTTCCTTACAACAAACTAGAATCTATGCTAACGTAATCTGCTAACATCCACCTTCCCCTTTATTTACACCTCACAACCATCCCTCCCAATCATTTCTCTCCTGCTCCCTCAAATCATCCAATTAGTTTCCCAATTAGTCAAAGAATCCTCACATCCATCCTGAAATAATGATTGTGTGGTGACGCGCTCTGACTCTTGCGCAATCCCATTCACCCCATCCTTCCTAACGACTGACGCATCCCCCCGCGCGGACCCTTGGCCCTTCGACTCACCCTTTTCCCTTACGAAAGACTGACGCAGCTCGCCGCCCGCCAGCCCTTACACCCTCTCCATGCTCCCGGCAGCAGCGGCGGGTGACGCACCATGACGACTTTCGACCCTTGACCACCACGGCGACGCAATTCTCTAAAGATACAGGCCTTTTACTGGTACGCCCTCCCTCTCCCTCCTTATGTCGTCGGCGTCACGACAATTGTTCCTACAATCACCAACACCATAATTAAATCCATATCATTTCTAACTCCTAACTCCACCTTTAACATGCATGCAAAAACAACATTAGTATCCTATTTTGGAATGCCAATAGAATACGATCAAATATCCTCTTTAGTTAATTTATCCACGCCAATCACATCTCTATAGCCTGTATTAATGAAACGCGCCTAATTCCATCCAATCGAACCCTACATCCCAGGATACATAAACTACCCTGCCTACAGGCCACACAAACGAGGCAGCGGATGTGTTGCCAAATTCACTACGCAAAATCACATTACTAAATTCTTTCTATACCGAAGTCTCCTTTCTAAAATGTTCGAATACAGACAACTATAGCAACCGAAATCCACATTGTACTACCCTCCGATCATCGCCCATTCAGGCTACGACTCTAGTCTGAATGTGATTGGGCGATGACTACCCTCGTCTCCTCTCCGAAAAAAAATCCTAACCCTAGCAGACAATTTTGCATCAGTCTTTATTCCACTTTCTCCCACGAATCCTGAATTTAATCAAACAACAGAGCATGAAGTAAACAATACCACAAATTACCGTGCTTCAGCCCATTAAATTCATTTCGCCATTAGAGGTTGCTTCTATCCTTGCAGAAAATGCACCTTAAAAAACTTGGGCCCAGATAAAATCAACATCTTTATCCTTAATTAACTTCCTTTCAGTGCCATTGTACACATTACCCACATATTCAACTCCTCTCTAAGAATAGCTTACTTCCCTACAGCCTGGAAATACGCACATGTTATACTTATCCTAAACCGCGGTAGAGACCCCTCTTCTCCATCTAGTTATAATCCTATCGTATACTACTAATTAAAAGCTTCCTCACGAATAGGCTCCATACGTTTAACTGACGTACTTTTTGCCCCCGCTCCTATCTTAGCAGATGTATCTCAAGGCTCTGTCCTACCTCCAACTCTCTTCAAAATTTTTACTTATGACGCACTGACAACCCTAAACACCTCCCTAGCTGTCTTCACCGATGAGTCAAGCAGTGTACTTAAACAAAGCACTGGATGACGCAAATCTACGTATTCAAAACTACCTAAATCAAATCTCTGAATGGGCCAGTAACTGGCGTATCAAATTAAACCCTACCAAATTTCAAGCTAAACTCTTCTCTCTACGCAGACCCCCCTTACCTCCGCCACTAACATACAACTCCACACCATTCCCTTGCTTACCTTCCAACACGCCTTTCAAATACCTCGGAATCCCCTTCGATCGACGACTAATCTGGAAACCCCACATCCACCATAGACTTGCGCTAACCACACAAAGAACTCACCAGCTCTTCCCAACACTACGTCGATCTTCTCCCCTCCAAATTCAAATAGGTACTCACCTTATAAAGCTATGTACTTTACAAATCTCACATCCTTAGACTTCAGACGTTTCAAAATCGTTTCCTAAGTACCATAACCAAAGCACCTTTGTTTTTACCAAATGATCTCCTTCATCACGAGCTCGGCATACTCCCTATAATTACTGACATGAAACAATCCGCCCTCAAGTTTTACAACTTAATCCCTTCAATCCCACTAGCACACTTCCAATTAGGGAAACAAAAATTAAATAGAGCACACAGTAAACCGCCCAGATAATTTTTTGACTCACCGTAAACCCATGGCTTTGATATAAATCTAAAGCAATAATGGATTCAAAATCTAACTCAACTCATTAACTCTGCATTGAATGTATTCAAACCCGTTGCGAAAGATGTTGTTTACCAGAAAACAAAGGAATTAAAAAAATAACTGTGGATGAGTGTAATTCTGAAACTACTTTTATATATCCAGGAAGTCCAGGGGGGAAACGTCGAAACTTCGAAAATAAGCCCTTGAGACAATTTTAAGCAAATTTTGTCTAATAAACCCTTTGGAAATACCGAATGACTAAGCCTCAATGAGCACTTAAAACTTGGTTTAAAAATATAATTTCTATGCAACAATTTACATTTGCAGAAACATGAACAGTCTATAAGCATGTAAATTGTTTATTATGTAATACTCAATTAAATGAAGACATTTATTCAGTGATGCTACAGAATGGCACAGAATTTCTCGTATTAGTTTTGTATTTTCCTTGGTCTCGGATAGCTATTCAGACTTGCCTCATACTCTTGTCAGCTGCCATCTATCAACGCCCAAAGTACGTTTTTGTACTTTTCTCAGTTTTTCTGTTTCTTAATAGTTGAAACGAAATATTACTTGAAAAGTAAAGATGAGTAAAACCCCCTCCGTTTTCTCAATTTTTTTGAGTTTTCGAAAGACGTCATTGGAAGTGATTTGAAGCACTTCCACTCACAAATGCAATAATGTATACAATTTGCTAGAAATCTAGATATTAACGTTGTGAGGGATATTTAAAAAATATAGTTTTGTAATTAAAAAAAGGATTCAGGAAAATGAACTTTGTCATATGAAACAGTGCACTGCGCGTATTAATAAGCACTATCCGTTGGAAAAGATTGATAAAAATAGGATCCATTTTTGCGAAAATTGCCTTTGAGCGTTTCTAAAAATGCAGATATTTCAGCTTATTTGTACATAAAACTGTTGAGTTTTTGAGAAACTTTATATGACCTTATTTAATGCACATAAACTCATTAATGTGAACAAATTGCCGCTAATGTAAATATTAAAAACGTGAAAGATCAGTCAAAAAATTATATTTTTGTAATTTTTGAAAAAAAATAAAAAACAATATGGCTTTTATGTCATCTTACAGAGTGTATTTAACACTATCTTTACCAACATTTTAAAGAAAAAAATTGGAGCATTTTTCGAGCAAATCGTGTGTTTGACATTCTTTAAAAGTGCACACTTTGCACACAATGTAGTCCAAAAACTACTAAAATTTTCGAAAAATACCGGACTGAAATGAAAGAATTAATTATGGACCACAAATTCCATGTGAAGGAAAAATATATAACTCTAATTTTGTAGTTTTTCTGTACCTTCCATTTTGTTCCAAAATAATTTTTTTTGTAATTTTCGAAAATTAAGAGAAAAGTGATTAGGCCAGTAACAGTTAAGCATACCTATACCACCTTTATAAGTGCATTTCACTATTGTTGCAAGAAATTTAAAGAAAAAACTGGAACCTTTTTTGAGATTAAATGTTTTAAATGTCTCAGAGGCGTCATGTAAAGTACTCCCAAAAATTAAGGGATTTTTTTCAAAATCGCAGAACTTGGACTCCGGGTTTGTTCAGTTTGGAGAAAATCGTACGCACAGTTTAGACGCTAGTGTGTTCAAATATCTTCCGGACTTTATACATTTAATGATGTCAAATTTTTCTTTCTCATGAAAATTTTCTCTCATTTGAGATTTTAAATGGTGTCAAGCACTTTATTTAAAAATATGAGTAGTTGTTGACTAATACACTTAGAGGGGAAAATGTTTCGGTATGTTAGTTTTGGTTAGGAACAAAACGACAATGGATTCGAAAGTCAAAAAAGGAGAAAGATGCTCTCAGAAAGAAACGTAGAGGCTCTGAGAATCTGTTCATAAAATAGTGATATTGTCATTACCGTATATCAGCAAAGGTAGCTCAGGGCATCAAGAAATGTCACTGCAGTTCCTCTTCCGAGGTTCGGGTCCTCATAGTAGCAGACTTTTTGACACTAGCTAGATAACTAGGCCGAATTCCGTCGCTCGCTGGAGGAAAATTCTAGCGATTGGCTGCTCTGATCGGTAGTTTTTTTGGTTTCTCTAAACCACTCCGAGCGAATGCCGGAGCAGTACAGGGCACGGACCACGCGCGATCTTTCCTTCCTCTTCCTTGTCCTATCCTGTGGCGGTGTTCCGCTGGTAGGAGATACTGGCTGTGGAAAACCCCACAAGTCGACGTAGGTCGGCGCTGGATCTCGCCTGCCAGCGAGGATCATCAGCGCCATCTCCCAACATGGAATAGACTTACGGGGCTGATGACTTTAGCAGTTGGTGCACCCGGAATCCCTTATCAATCAATCATACCTTACACGGTGAATGGCGGGGGAAGGAGGATGAAGTGCACCCCGTTAATCCGTCCTTGGAGAGTCTGCGTTCAGGAACATCCACGGCCGACTGGCGCTTTCTGCCCGACTGTGCCGTGCGCGGCCGCTTCGCCGGCGCTTAACTACATAATGGACCAGGCGCGTGTGAGCGGGATCTGGGATGATTGGGAGCAATAAGAGCGTCAACGGGTGTGGTCACAGCTTCCGACCGTTTACATGTTACCATCCTCTTCTAATTCACCAAAATAAATTGGACACCTCAAGTTTGCTTCTTCCAATGCTGCCGATTTTACAAAAAAAACCTCGTAATGTATCTTAGGTGACTACTTCATTGATGTGCTAAGTGCCTCAGTTCAGGTGCAAATTGCGTAAGCGAAATTCAATCTACATTCATTTATTTTTCTTTCGTTAGTTATATAAGATTACTATGATAATTTGTATTGTTCTTTTAAAGCAAATATTAAGTGTAAAACGTCATTTAAACGTTTGCGCTGGCCCCACGCCCCTCCTCCCACGGTTAGCCCGTGTTCGACCTTCCGGCTGTCTTCGCAGTATCCCCCCAACGTTCCCTCTTGACTCACACTTAGGGGACATTTTCTACTTTCCACGTTCTTGGGACACTGCCGTCCCCTTGGCTTTTGAAATGTCTAATACTTCTCCGTTTCATCTAATTACTTGTTCGCCCTTACTTCGTAAGAGAGAAAAGTATTCTAATCGTGCGCCGGAAAACGGCTATTTTTTACAGAACATACTCTAATAGTTGGGTCCTGGTAACGAAACAGTGGGTAAATCATGTTCATAAATTTAGTAAATTAGTTCTCTAACCATTTTGTTTAGTCAAAATACATTTTTTGTCAGTCCTTATACAGAAAAATCGATTGACGGCAAAACGTCTGTCTTGACTGTCTCCCGACTTTCGCCTCATAGAGAGACTGAAGATGAGGTCCAGGCCCTCGAAAGCTGTCTCTCTGAATGAATTTGAGATGAAAATTTGACTTCAATTATTTCATCCTTTAATAATGTCAACAACACTTCATTACCATTTCCACAATAAATACTAGCGCTTAAATATCTGTAGGTCTTTTTAATTTCTCGATGGTGCTTACACAATACAGAGAAAGTGGTGTGTGTGCGAAAAAATGGCGAATTTTAGATAGAAAAACTCTTATTACAGGGCACTGGTGACGAAAAAGTAGAAAAATCCATTTACTAAATTTTAAAAAAATCCTCTAGCACGTGGCATAGCCAGAATCCTTGTGAGTCATTGGTACCGACAAATCTAATGACGGCAAAACGTCCGTGAACAACGCTAGCGACTAAACCGTTCAGGCATTTTTTCCAAAATTTATTCCCCAATTGATCTAGTTGATGTCGCCGGCCCTTGAATTTAAAACCGGTATTTTAATTTTAGAAGTATTTTGTATGAATCCCCTCGAATATTTTCCAAATTTAAAAATCTCATTTTTGTAGAAAATTCTTATTTTTAAAAAATTGCAAAAGTTCAAAATTTTTTTTAAGACTTCCAACAACCAAAATATTATGGATAGAGTTCTTTTCGTTGATAAAATCTATTTTTTAAAGATTTTGAAATAATGTCCTGTACTACTTTTCGAAAATTTATTACTGTTCGTGTAGTTTGGCGTGAAAAAACGGGCGAGAAAGTACGTGCTGTTTTATCACCAATGATTTTAAAACGAATATTCTCGAACTATCTGGCTCGACTCGTAGCCTTGCGAGATTAAAAATAATTATTTGAAGTTTTTTAAACATGAATCTCCTGTAATATTACAAATTTTTCGTATGTCAAAATTGTAAGCATGGCTCCATTTTACTTTCTCGTCCTTACTAACGTAAGAGAAAGTATTGTAGTCGTGCGCTGGAAAACTGGCACTTTTACGACATAAAAACTGTAATTGCCGGATCTTAATAATGAAATAATGGATAAATTCAGTTGCTAAATATAGGAAAAAAGTTCTTCTTATCCGAATCCATGTTTTGTACGTCCTTGATACTGAAAAATCGATTTACAGCAAAATGTCTGTCTGTGTACAACGCTAGCACGTAAACGGTTCAGCTGAATTTCTCCAAAATTGATCCCAATCGTCTGATGTCGCGGCCCCTGGAATTTAAAACCGTTATTTTAGTTTTTGGGGGTACTTTACGTGAAGAACCATAAACATTTTCAAAATAAAAAAAGCTTCAAATTTTTTGATTAAATTTTGTTGAATAGTACGAAGGACGTTTAAGAGAATGGTAAAGGTCGTATTTTCGTTGAGTTCCTCTATTTTTGAAACATTGAAAATTTTAAACTACAAAATTGTAGAGAGAGGTTTTTGTCTCAGATAAGGTTTGTTCTAGCAGCAGTCCGAAACAGTCCCGAACTAGTCCGCGCATGCGCAATGGCGTTCCAGCAGCAGCAGCAGCAGCAGCAGCAGCAACAGTGAGGGATTGTGACTGGGAGTTGGGCGTTCCAGCAGGGTTGCTGATTAGTTTGAAACCAGTCCGAATCAGTTCGTGCACTCTCCCTCAAACTAGAAATCCGCGCATGCGTACTTCGGTCCCCGAGTTCCCGCCAACGCCAAACTTCGATGACGCGCCATTTACGTTTCCATCAGGTTTCTGCATAGTTGTTTTACATATTCTGCTCTATGTATTTTGACCGTGCCTTGTTTTACATTTTATTCATTCTTAGTTTTTGGTGATTTCTTTTTCTTTCAGATTTTTCTCGTGGATATTGGAAATTGACCCTGCTTTATTTTACATTTCATTGATTTTCTAGTTTTTTTCCAAATATTACTAATCGCGCGCTTCTTTAAAATTCTTATTTATTTATAGTTAAAACGATGGGAAGGGAATTCTGGAACTCAAGAAAACATGCGCAGATTATCTTCTCCTCCATACGTCACATATACAATTTTTTATTACTTTTTTACTAAATCAATCATCTACATTCTTGGATTTTGGTGAGTTAGCTATCTTTCGGATTTTCTTGTGGATATTGGTACTTGATATTTGTTTCTTTTTTTGGGAAATAGAAGGTACGTAATTTTAAGGAAGTTCCTTGTACCGTGACTTACTAAATATGGATGTCGTTATTTACCCTTCTGTATTGGTAGCGTTATTTCTCACTTTTAAGAAAAATACAATTAACCAAAATCCAAAAGAATAATCAAAAACAATAGCGCAAGTCACAGTTTACCAGGTTCAAAATCTGTAATTGATAGCAAGGTCAAGAAAATAAGCGATCAATTATGGAGAAACGTAAAGCGTAAGTGAATACCACAGGATCACAGAATATTCCCCTCCAAAATTGATAAAATAAATTAAACATGAAAACTTTTAAATCAGTGCAATCTCTCGCTACCGTAAACTACGGGAAACCGTTTCAGAACAAAAAAATCGGAATTTCATGCTCTCTGGCACGATTTTAAAATCCCCGAGCTGAATATTGTTTTACATCCGCCTTTACTTTCATTCATAATCCCAAGTTGGTCTCTTCATAAGCCACTTACGTTAGAAAGCGATTAAATTATATTTCTTTCACCCACGAGCACATAATAAAGTCCTCAATCTTCTCCTTCGTTTTGCACGAATTCCCTCCAAATACCTTATTCACTCTCCGAATTTCCAAAAACCTTTAACCAAGTCCCGTCTTTCCAGCATGTCATTTACGTCCGATTAAACCCTTTCGGGAGTTGTTATAACAAAATAATCGTTCGAGGGAGTATATGTAATCTTGTGGATCGGAGTTCTCCTTCACCTTGATGTCGGGTCGAATCACGGTCTCTCTGGCCACTCGTGTTGGCGGCTTCCAATCCAGCGCGTCGAAAAGTGGCCGTTAAATGCCGGAGCGCTCTGACGCGCTGCTTGTTGCCGCAGATCCAAGGCCGAAGGCGTAGCGAGCGGCGCCGACCGCCCATGGTGCGTTGCTCGTAATCCATAGTTACCCGCAGCATACCACCATAAAATTCTTATATCGCGCACCGTCAGCCCTAGTTTGATGTCTGTTATTTTCATTGTTCCGGCAACTCGCGAAACATCATCACTACTTTCATAAGCTTAATCGGTTTTGAGGATAATTTGCCTCACGCAATCACCACTAAATAAATTCAACTCCTTCGTGCTCTGCCACGCCATGGAAATCTCCTCACACCCCTCGTCTTACGTACGCCCTCCTACTGTCTCCTCTCATTCACATAACGCTCTCTACCGCGTCGGTCGGCACGGACACCACACTCAAACGTTTCAGAATGTCTATCAATACGGGTTTCCAAACTCTTGCACGCGCTACGTGTATTGTACTAAACGAATTTTGCTTTTCAATAATATTACAGCTTGATAATTACATTTTCTTTCTGAATTATTAGTTGATTTCAAATGTTTTATATTGTTTAGCGTGCCTCCTATTGTTTCGAGTCTTCGTGTTTAGTGTATCCGATAATACTAGTTGTGGATTGTTTATCACCTTGTTTATTTCAGTCCTTCTGTATGTGAGAAATTTATTCTTAATTTATTCGTGATGCAACGTCTGTAGCAGGTTTTCCAGGTTTCGCTATGGCTATCACTTGTTGTTATCGAAGTTGGACTTTTAGGGAAAAATGTCTCTTGGCTGTAATATATTTACCTCCTAAGACAGGCAGCATGATATGCTGGACGAAACCATTGCATCTGCGATAAATTCCTATGAACACGTTATTGTAATGGGTGACTTTAATCATAACTATTTAAAAACCTTCTCCCTCTGCAGAGCTTTTACGCGGATTTTCCACAGCATGTGCCTCGAAATTTTACCTCTAGGACCAACACACCACTCAAAGAACACAGAAACTTGGATCATCATATTATAGTGTCTAATGTAAACAAAGTTCGAAAACACGGACAATTTCCAGTTCCTGGGATTTCAAAACACGACGCTAATTTATCTTGTTTACAAACCTAAAGTGCCCTAAATACTCACCTCACATAATCAAATACCGCGAATTTTTCAAAATTTGAAAAGCAAGCATTTATTATAGATGGATTGGCACTTCCATGGCGCCTTGTACACGAAGAAGAATTGCTGGATGATAAAGTAAATATTTTCACTAACTTAATAA